AAATATGAAGAGCAATAAGCAGCATTTTCGTCATATTTTACTTTTTTACTTCAGAAAAGGTAAAAATGCTGTCCAAGCGAGAAAAAAATTGACGGATGTGTATGGAGAAGGCATGTTAACAGTACGCCAGTGCCAGAACTGGTTTGCAAAATTTCGATCCGGCAATTTTGATGTCGAAGATGCACCACGGTCTGGAAGGCCGGTCGAAGCTGACAAAGATGCGATAAAGGCATTAGTTGATGCAAATCGGCGAATAACCACACGAGAGATCGGTGAGAGATTAAATTTGTCGAATTCGACTGTTTATGGCCATTTGAAAGGCATGGGCTTAACCTCGAAGCTCGATGTGTGGGTGCCCCATGTCCTTACGGAGCGAAATTTGTGTCGTCGCGTTGACGTGTGTGATTCGCTCCTCAAACGTCAAGAAAATGATCCATTTTTGAAGCGGATTATTACTGGGGACGAAAAATGGGTTGTATACAACAATGTTAAACGCAAGAGGTCATGGAGCAGAAAAGATGAACCGGCTCAAAGCGTGTCAAAAGCCAACATTTACCAAAAAAAGGTTTTTTGAGCTTTTGCCGGACAATACAACGATTAATTCAGAAGTCTATTGTCATCAACTGGACAAATTGAATGATTCACTTAAAGAGAAGAGGCCCGAATTAATCAACAGGAAGGGTGTAGTGTTCCACCAGGATAATGCGAGACCTCACACAAGTTTGGTCACTCGCCAAAAACTTTTACAGCTTGAATGGGACGTACTGCAACATCCACCATATTCTCCAGATCTGGCGCCTTCCGACTACTATTTGTTCCGGTCCCTGCAAAATTTTTTGGATGGCAAAACCTTTACCTCAAATGAAGATGTCAAAAACCACCTGAACCAGTTTTTTGCCAGTAAGGACCAAAACTTTTATGAGAGGGGAATTATGTTACTGCCAAAAAGATGGCAAAAGGTGTTGGACCAGAATGGCCAATATATAATTTAATAAAATATTTATTCATTATACGAAAACTGTCTTTCATGTTCCCAAAAAAAAAAAACGAAATGACTTTTCGAACAACCCAATAGCTACATAAAATTCGGTAATTCCCTGTTTTTTATCAGGTGATTCCCCATTTACACATTTCGTTTGCTAGCCTGCATTTAATGATGTGTTTGGTCTTCAGATTCGTAGTTGATATTGGAGTTATTTTATAATTTTACGTAAAATGGCGTCGAAAAAAAGGAAAAGATGGAAGTTGTTAACATTTTAGACAAAGAAAGTTCGTCATTTGGCAAAGAGGTTTAATACTGGGAAAGCGCAAGCAGCTGAAATAGCCAAAAATAAGGAAGATATCAGAAGTAAATGGCAATCTGGAACTTTGGCTATAAACAAAAGATGTTTTGAGTGGTTTGTGAAAGCTAGAAATCTGATTACAACATTCCAATCTCAGTGCCGTTACTGAATATGAAAGCTAATGAAATTGCGACTACTTTGGGCTACAATAATTTCAGTGCGTCCGACGGGTGGCTTCAAAAGCGGCGCAAGACACATAATGTTAGTTTTAAATGCATATCTGGTGAAGCTGCTGCAGTAAATTAAGTTGATGTGCCACAGTTTTTGGAAAAACGTCCTTTCTCGTTGCTTGGCTACAAACCAGAAGATATGTACAACGCAGACGAAAGTGGACTTTTTTTTCGTGCATTGCCCGACAAAACTTTGTCTCTCAAAGGAGAAACATGTGTGGGTGGAAAGTTGTCTAAAGACAGACTAACCATTTTATTCTGTGCAAATATGGTCGGTGAAAAATACGATTTGATTGTGATCGGGAGAACAATGATATTAATTGGATCTACCAGCCACTTGGAAATCCAATAAAAAGGCATGGATAACTCGAGAAACCATGTCTGAGTAGTTGCTCCAATTCGACCGGAAAATGGGAATCCAAAGAAGCCATTATGAACTGAAATTAAAAAATTATATTTTTACCGCCTAACACAACATCAGTTCGTCAGCCCTTGGATCAGGGTATCACACAAAACAGTTTTAATCGTCTCCTGAAGATGCCAACTTGAGTACGTAAAATTGAGTTTCGGTTTGTGGTAAAACGCGTTATTGTGTGTTACACACTATAATTTAAGCGGGTTATTTACGGCATAATAATAAAACTCGGGCAGAATTTTTGAATCTTTTCAATACGTTGTGACGAATTACCCGTCAAACAAGGCCCATATACGACGTCATAGTGATTAACGAGAGAACAAGCGCATCACATAAGTTTTTTTTTAAGATTTCGAGTTAGAATATGCCTTGAGCTATTCAACCCTTTTAAACTAAAATTAACCCCAAATTTTTTGCCTCGTTTTGAAGTGGAAGAGTAATATTGTTTATTTTTATGATTACTTCAGAAGCAAGACGCATCACATCCACCGGCCGACCAAAAAACATTACCGAGGATTTTTTTGGGGTTAAACGCAAACCGTGATCTCTGCAAATTCTGTCAATTCGTTGATGGTGACTGTCGATATTTTGGCACTCAAGCTGCAACCGACAGGGCCCAAAAACATCAGCATATGATTGCATCAAAAACCTTAGAATAATCGAATACAACCAACAGAGTGCACTCACCTTCATCAATCCCTCTAATGATGTCATCTGTCACATTAAGAATCGGTGTAGCACAAGATTTTCCAGTAAAGATTTGCAATAATTTTAAGCTCACACCTAGACCCAATTCTTGCAGATCAAAACTAACCAAAACTCTTCGCAGTTTTTAACTCTATGCTGAAGATGGCTACTCCCAAAACCATTATAATAAAAAAAATTAACAATAATAATACTATAATAGGATACTTTGATCATTTAGAAGCTCTTATGAATATGGAAATATAAACTTCATTTTTTTTTTTGCTCTAAAATCCTGACCGGATGTCACTTTTCACGTGACTGATTCCGGAAAATGAAAATAGCGCATTTGCAAAGGGCAATTCGTATTTTCATACAATTGTGAAGGAAAAATATAATTTTTGAAATATACAACTGATTTTGGATAAACGAAATTTTTAATTCGATAATTTTGATGCTTATATCGCCGCTAGAGGGCGTTTTGGGACAACACTACAAATACAATTTATTTCCTCAAAAAATATACTTTATTGCAATAAATAAAGCCAAATAAGGGTCTCACCTACAATATCAGTAAAAGAAAAGACAGCTTCGGCTTCAGGAGCTTCGACTCGCATGTCAACATCACGATATTAATTCTTTTACGAATCAGTAGGAGGCGCTCCATGCCAAAAACAGCTATCTTTATGATTATGTCGAAAATTTTAAATATAATGGTATAAATATTTTTAGCTAGGATGAAAGAGCTTAAAAAAACACAGCAAGTAGTGGAGTTATAAATAAAAATGAGTTCATTAAACTTATTTTTCAACAGTAGTATAGTAATAGTACCAGAAATGTCAGACGTGTAGTGAGATGAGTGAGTTAAATTTATTAATATATTACATTTTTTTGTCAACATTCAAGGAATTTGAATGGCTGAAGCTGCTCCTTCTACACAGAGAAGGCTGTAGCTTTGTATTGAGAATGAGGGACGCCAGATTAAACATTTGGGAAGTCATTTTGTTTAGTGTTACGTTTTCTTTATTGTTAGATTTTGTTTAGTGTTAGGTTTTGATTGAATTAAAATAAGTTTATACAGTTCATGCCGTAATTATTACGGAACTCATCCCAGACATCAATTTATTGAGGTATTTTCTGAATAATTCTTTTTAACCTAATATCCTCTCAATTATGTTTTATATATAAAATAAAATAAAAGCAATATCGAACTTTTACTAAAAATTATGTCATCTCTTGGTTATCTCTAATACTGCTTCTATTATACCTAGGTAATATTTTTTAATTAATCTTTTTCTAAACCAATATTTCACCCTTCCACCACCCTTAATTTGACGAGATAGAAAGAAATAGTTCAAACAAAAAAGTTTCCTTATCTGGAGTAGATTAAAACTAATTTCGATATACGCTAATTTGGAATATTTTTGAGAAAACCCATTTTTTATATTTTACAGTGGAGGTTGCGCTCCCTAGCGGCCATTTTATGAACTTGAAAATAATTTCAGCTCTTGCTCCGGGTGTGACGGCTAGCCGCTACGATTTCCGAATCGCCGATAAAAACGCTTGTCGTTACTCGAGTAAGATTTTTACATACTTTAAATAAAAAGTACAGTCTGATACTTCGACTAGTGTGCATAGACGGTATATGTTTTGTATGTTTCCACTATTAACGCAAAGCTTTTTTATCCTTTTTATAAAGTGTTTTGCAAAACTTTCAGAATATTATACGTTCTGTTTTCCTTGTTTGTTTAACAAATTATATTAAGCCCTCCTAAACGATGGAAAATGTTCTTTTATTAAATACTTTTACCAAATTTGGCAGTACACTTTACGGGGTCCCCTCGTACACCGAAAATGTCAACGCGTGACCTAGTTTCGGGTCGCGCGTCGTAGGTAGATAAACATACGCGTTTTCGTTGTTTAACTATTGTTGTTTATCGCCCGGGAGATTACGTCGCAGCTCGCGGTCGGAGGAACGTGTTTCCGCTCGCGTAGCAAATACCAATTAACTAATAACCCGATAAATGTTCCACTTTTGAGTAGATTCGGCAATAGCGCGTTGTAGACCGGCAGGCGGTGCCATCGCGCGACTGTTCTGAGAAACACTCGGGCCGTTGTCGGTTAGCGTCCGCAGATGGCGCGCTCGGATCCGCAGTGGCGGCTTCAAGCAATTGACAGTTTTTATATATTGAATTTGTATTATTATGTTACGCTCTTTTTTTGAAAACTATCTTGAATAGGACGGAATACGAGAAAGAAAATTGCGAAACTAATAATGCACACACGCACGAGTTTATTTTGACAAATAACTAATAAATAGTTAGTTAAGGGAGGAAAACTGTATTTTCCATGGCCTACTCAAAAATAAAATTACTCGAAACTACTTACCATTGACAGGAATATAGGTGACATTGCCGCCGTCAAAGTCGATGGCGATACCATTTTCGGCCTGAAACGAAATTCACCGTTATTAAAATTTTGCACGGACGGCGGGACAATTTTGCTAATGAAGGCGCAATAAAAATTATTAACCAACGTCGTTATTGTACTTCGTGCCGATGATAAAAAGCCGACCACACACCGCGGGGTTGTCTGCGTTACGATCAATTTGTCATAAGCAGAAAGGCGAACGGCTCAATTGATCCCGTCCGGCGTTCCCGTTTAACGGCGATAAAAAAAGAAGACGTGGGGCCAATAACAAAACCGTTAATTGTTTTTATCGTTAGCGGAGAACGATGCAAACTGACGCGTTCGACACTAATAATAGAAAAAAACTCTTTGTCTTGATAGACTCTCCACAAATTAAAAATTAATAAAAAACAAAACATCTTTTTCTTCTTCTTGTGCGCTGAGCAACACGTAGGCGACCAGTCACCAGCGTCAACTTACTAGCCGAATGATACTGGTAAGCGTGGCCATAGAAGTAAGGAAGAAGACGTTAATTTACAATGACAATATAACAGTGGAGCTGTTTTTGGGTTGAGGTTGTTCAGTAACGGCAAAATTCTTTAATTGTTTTAAAATTTTATTCAACGTTTCGATTACAATGTGAATTGAACTGATGGGGCTTTTATTTGATGAAAATCCATTTAACAAAATAAATATGAACTAAAAGTTCAGATTTTCACGAAATTATATATTTTCACATGACAATTGTTTCGACAACAACGTGTCTTTATCAAATGCAATATTTACAAATTACCTGCTACTATATATCGAAAAATGACAACAAAAACTTTATTAATGTTGTTGTGAGAATTTAAGTTTAAAAACGGAGAGGTATTTAAATCTAATTAAACGTTAAGCAATACATTTAATTTTCTACCATTTGTGGCTGTATGTAAAATACCAAAATTGTCAAAAATGTGTTTTTCTGTGTTTAAGTGTGTAGCATAATTAGATTCTATTGTTTTTAAACACTCTTTTATGTTCGTTAATGCGTTTCATGAAGGATCTACCTGTTTGTCCAATATCCGCATTTTAACCAGTAGACACCTGATTTTTGAGATTTTGGACATTTCTTTTTATTGTTTTTTAAAAAATTTCCTATTATGTTGTTAGTTCTGACAGTTATTTTTAAACCACATTTTGACAAATGTTTTGAAACTTTTTCACTGGGTTGTCCTATGTATGTGATTGTTTTAAATTGTTTGTGTGTGTTGCGTCTAAATTAATAAATTAATATGAAACAACTGACATACAAATTTTGACTTTGAAATTTATGTTTATTATTAGCGTCACACAACACAGCATATGTTACTTTTTTAATACGAAACATTTGCTTCATTGCTGACTTTTAATTATTATTATCTTGTGTTGAAATTTTAGTTGTTTTCTTTAAATTAAATCCGATTTTTCGAAAGTTGACTTGGCATTGCATTATGTATAGTTTCTTTTGGCGGAATTTATACAAGGCATTGGATATACATCATTTCACTTTTTTTGTGATGAAATTAGTCTCTTAATAGGTATAGGTTTTTTCAGCTAAATATAGTTATGAAATTTTTTGTTTCATGTTTTGTACGCTGTTTTGTTCCCATTTTCTTTTATAAGATAAAAAAACATTATCGGCATATTTGCAGGACCCCATCTTCCTAATGGTTGGCCTTTAAACGTTCACAAAACAAACCACCATTTATTTTAAACAAGTTTTTCGCATTTGTTTTCAGACACCCTCTATATTTTCATTCTCAAAACCTTCACGTTCTATGCTTAATATAAGGACATTAAAACATCGATTGAAATGAATAAAAGTTGCCTTTTAACAATGCAATAACCATTTCCCAATCGTGACGATACGAAAAGCGTGGGTAAAGGCGGCATAAAAAAGTTCTAGATTCTCGAAGAGTCAAGGCACGTTTGATTAATTCCGTCGGCACGTGATTTCCTTCAAACTGTCACAACGAGGCTCAGGCTGGATTAATTATTGTTCTTTTTTTAGTGCCCTGCCTTCAGATGTAGGCAAAAGGTTTAGAAAAGCAATGCAGAGGTGTCCTTGTTCTTCAAGCCCTATAGATACGATGTAGATCAGCTATTTTTGTTTGTAAATCGGCGCAAAGCGTTAGTTTTCATAAACTCATTGAAATAACTGTGGGATGCTAGATATCGCATATGAAACATCTAAGAAAAAAAATGTTCAAGAAGCACCTCCTATAGGCAGGGGTATTTATTATGCTTGTTCTAGTAAAAATTCAACTTGTAGCTTAATTGGTCTTTCGTAGCTATTTAAGAGTATGGTCTGTTCATAGATATAAAAAAGTGACCAATTGCTTTTGAAGAGTGGTCATTAACATACAATGCAACAATATTATTACCTAAAGTTTCGGAATTTAAATTCAGGTAAAATTGTAGTGCGTAATAGAAAATAATTATATATATATATATATATATATATATATATATATATATATATATATATATATATATATATATATATATATATATATATATATACGGACCTGCTCGGCCATATTTCATTCTTCCAGTTTGCCCGGGTCTTTCGTTAATTCCTATCAGTCACTTTCTTATACCTATGAACAGACAACCTAAAAATATAGGAAATTCATAGGTAAATATTTGTGTAATAAGACAATCCACAGACATCTTACATGTAAATCCAAGAAAGTGTCCTCTATAACACTGGATACTTCTCAATTTTTCTATCTGTTTTGGTGTAAATCGCTGCTGATTAACAAATATTTTATAAAATGGAAAAAGACAGTTCCCTATTTTGAGAAGTATAGGGTTTACCTCTATTGCATATGATATTTTATAAATAAATAATAACTGATCGCGTTCTTACCTAAATAAAATTTATAAATTTGATTACATGAGTAAAACTGTAATAATTCTAATACTACTTGTCATATATACTAAAGTTATAAATATGATTACGCAAGGAAAACACTCCTATATAATAACGAAAATTATCAATTAAACAATTAATAATATGATATATATAAATAAAACAAATCATATAATATATAATATAAAACAAATCAACAAACTTTGTTTTTAAATGTTAGTTTTGGATAGTATCAAAACGTATCAGATTTTATGCGTTATGTTGGTATAGTTCTTTGATTCCGTTAGATTTTTATAAATCTTATTTTATACATATATTTAAATAAAAAACTTGTTTACTAAATCCCTAAATATGACACAAAATAGTTTATTTCTACTCCCGTCTGCAAAATCCCTAATAAGCGTGCGGGAAACGTCGCTTTACCACATCAGTTTCGTTTCCCATGAATCCGAACCACTTCGGACAACTTCGGATGTTTACGGAGATATTTCCCACGCTTTGAATATTAACGTTTGTCAATTGTCAAAGTATAATATGCAACACGTTCGGTAAACATTTTAACTCACTCGTTTATTAAACACTCGCTCCGCTCGTGTCAAATAAACTCGTGAGTCAAATGCCGTTTACAGCACTTGTTGCATAATACACTATTGTCTGTACTAAATATCAACGGTGTCCTCATATTTGCCACATTTGCTGTAATTTCGTGAAAGAACGAAGTATTTAAAGCACAAATTATACAAGTCTGTGAGTACGGTACGAAGATATCGGCACGAAAAATGAAAGCAACAATGGCACAGACCACAGACTGTTCTGCGACAACAGTAATTATTTAGTTCGGTGTTGCCAATTATGTTCGGATTTCAGAGATTGATTTTGTAATGAATTTTCCATAAAAATTACGGCAATGCAGTCAGTCATAGCCACTTGCGGTGCATCAACTTTTACCGTAGTAGGGCCACTATATTATCTTATAGCTATATGCCTACGGCAGTCTGACGTAAACGTTTACGGCTCCGGCACAATCAGCGTCAAAATAATATGTACCACAAGGTGGAGGTACAAATAAAATGCGGGTTTCAGTTTAACGAGTCCATTTTCTGGAATTTCTTGAAGGACGAGTCAATATTTCTCGTAGCTATCGAAACATCATCTATCCCGCTGGTTTCATAACGATGTGACTGTATTTCTCATACTGTCAAATATAGAATAAATTCCTAACTAGGAATTTCCATGCATAATTACATTTTTATTCTAAATGTCTAAATCTAACTCTGTTTCACTACAGAGTCGTCATTGAGAGAAAGACTGTTTTTTAATTGCATATGAATTTAGGACTTCCAAAAGTTGCGCTTTTTTGTAACTGAATTCAAAATAAATATAATTTTCTAACAAATATTCCTGGATTTCAGATTTCGAACTTGATGAGTCTGTGGGGGCTCCATAACAGTAACACTGTTTGTGGGAATATTATTAAAATCAATTTTCAAAAACTTTTTACAAAACTTCTAGATTCCTCCTGAGTCGGTTTTTGCTGAGCTAGCATTTTACATAAACACCGTCCCGGATAACTGATTCCCATATTGGTGACAGGTAAAGACCTGAATCGCGGTTAAGATTGTTAAGTTGCTTATAGATTTCTATAGACTCTCGGATTTTTTTGGACAAATTTTTGAACGAACGTCGGGAACAGCTATGGGTTCTCCCCTATTACCAGCTATCTCGACACCTTATGTTTACGCCCCTCATTTAGCCCCGCCTCCCTCAAACAATATACAAGCAGGTACAGAGTAAAATACGAGCCAGTTTCAGTCAAGCTCGGAAGAAGCCAACAGGATGATTGACGAAACGTTAGCAAGTTCGACTCAGCAAAAACCGACGCAGGAGGGATCCAGAAGTTTTGTAAAAAGTATTACAGTAGCCTGTGGAGATTGCTTTGAAAAGTTCGGAACATTATAATTCAAACTGGAATCCTTAATATTCTTTGCAGCAACCGGTTTGGGACAAATCCGACTTCTGACCTAGCGTGTGTTATGGTGATGCGAAGGTGCTTTCGTATGACAGTTTTGAGTGGAATCAAGCCATCCTCTGCGTACAGTGTCGTGTATATCGAACCATGTTTCATCTACATCTGTTGTCTAATA